AACACCCCTCATTAATGCGGACTTCCTGAGCCGCTACAACTTACCCGTCTCTTGGACGAGTCACTGGTCGTCACGGCTACATATGGCACCCAAGATATCTAGAGGTGATTGGATGCCTTGTGGGGATAACCGTTCTCTGAATAACGCCACTATCCCAGACAGGTGTCCCATCTCATATATCCACGATCTCGCAAGTACATAATGCGACGCAAACATTTTCTCCAAACTCGATCTCGTACGCGCATACCACCGCATACCCACAGCCCCGGATGACATCTTTGAAGCAGCTATTACAACGTTTGGTCTTTTCGAATTCGCGCATATGCGCTTTGGTCTTCAAAATGCAGCTCAAACGTCTTAACATTTCACGGACGTCTTTGTAGTTTGTTTTTGTATGCTAGTACCTCCCCAACCGAGCATGCAAATCATCTCAAATTAGAATTTCAACGTCTTTCTACCTACAACATACGTTTGAACATTGACAAAGGCTTGTTTGGTGTTGCGAGTCTAGATTTCCTGGGTCACCACATTGACCAAACCGGTATTTCACCATTGTCCAATCGCATTTTGGCCCTAGAGCCTTTTCACAGGCCTACCAGTATCATCCAGCTTCGTCGTTTCAGTGTTATCATCAACTATTATCGGCGGCTCGTCCCTCACTGTGCAGCTGTTTTACAACAACTGACCGATTTACTTGGCCCCTAAGAATTATCTGTCACCTCCCCCCGCCGCCATTACTGCTTTCGAAAGATCCAAGTAGGCCATCGCTCACGCCACAAAATTTTTCTTCGATATCCACGAAAACACAAAGCTTATTTTGACAACTGATACTTCAAAAACTGCTATGGGCGCCGTACCCCATCAAGTTGTTAACAACATATTTCAATCATTAGTCTTTTTCTGGTAAAAGACGCAGGCTGCACGAACGCGTCACAGTAATTTTGGTCGTGAATTACTCGCCATTCATCTTGCTATTCGCTGTACCATTCAAACCGATCACAAGCCAATTACGTACGCTTTCAGTGCCAAGCCTGATCGCTAATAACCACGCGAGATGCGTTATCTGGAATATTTCACTACCGACATTCGGTGCGCTCCAGGATCAGACAATGTCTTCGCAGACGCCCCACCCCGTCCAGACATCAACATTCTCCACTCTTCCGTACAGCTTAACCTTGCGAAACTGAAGAACCTTTAGCATGATGATCCTAGTTTTTCGCTTATTCTGTCCCCTCATCATTTCAAGTCTCTTCCTCTAGTCTGTAACCATTTTCGTTATGTCTACCGGTACATTAGCTTAGTCGTCCCCGAAGCTTTCCGACGGTTGATTTCGACCACTTTCATGAACTTTCTTACCCAGAAATGATAGCAAAAGGGAAGTTGATTAGCGCACGTTTCGTGTGGCACTACATGAATAAGGATATAACAAGCTGGACAAAAATTGCATCACCTGTTAACGCAATAAAGTAACTTGCAATAAGAACTTGCCTCTCGGCTCACTGCCAGTTTCTGATGCTTGGTTCACGTGTATTTATTTTGACAGTGTTGGGCCACTTTCCCCTTTAAACGGTTTCACTCATGTTCTTAAAATGATCAATCGTTTTACCATTTGGCCATTAGCTGAACCCATTTCGGATACTTCAGCTGAATCGGTGGATTTTTCGCTTCTAGCGCCAGTACTTGGTTCTAAATTAAAATTACTCCGAATATATTATGTGAGGTTCACCGAATTGATGTGCAGGTATGGTAGTTTCTGTGCATAAGCACAATAGGCTTTAAACTGGACCATATTAGATTAGCCCCGGTGGCTATGATGGCCAGTTGGACTTCGCCGCCTCGGCTACCCCAGGGAAGCCATCGAAACTAAAGCCCGGAATGATTTGAGGACACAGTAATACACCGAACTCCCTGATTGAAGTGACCAAATCATTACAGACCAAGATTATATCGACCAACGGCTACTGTTTTTTTAGTGAATGTTCATCGTGAAGGATAATCTGAGATGAACGCCTTCTTTGGTCTAATTGACTGGACCTTCTGAACGCACTTCAACCAGGTGATCGAGAAGATTTTACTATCTTAGGCCAATTCTTAATTTTGTGCAAACCTTGTCTTCCCTTTCTAAGCAACCCCCACGGCGACCACCCAATTGATCCTGTGTGATGAGACGCATCTCACTCAGTACACCTGAGACCTATGCAACTTATTACCGGACCGGCTGCCAACTTGAATTTAAGAAGCATCCCGCCTGACTACAGCAGCCTGCTTTGGCAGTTAAATACAGGTAGAAAAATAGGGAGACTGCAGAACGTAGGACTTTATAAACCCGGGCGGGATATCATGAACCCGCTCGCTTCGGCTTACAGCCAACTTATAAACCGATGAAATTCAGCGGTACTACTCAGTGTGTGATCCAAGCTGACTCCCGTTCGCGGGTTACACATCCAAACGGCCTCCAAGAATCCGCATCTGTTTCCCAGATGCAGTGCCGAGTCATGTTTATTGTATTGTACCCCCATTCATCCTTGCATCAGTCAAGTGAACATAGCCACTTAGTCCATAGTTACCACCTAAACAGTAGTACCAGCTTGGTCTGCAAATATACATAGGACGTGTCATTCTCGGTTTTCCCTGAATAACAATTGACCTCTTATGCAAAATGATTTCATTCTACCTCGCTTCCACCTGACTAATCAACACACACTGATCAACACACTTTAAACTCCCATCCGACTAACGCCACCTCGATTTGATGGAATCTCACGCAGATCGCTGATTCCGGCTCGATAACTCTCAGACACTGCTCCCCCTCCTGACAGTTGCCCGGTCTGTCTACTCCGAGTCTGTGGCTATGGGACATTGCCGTCCATGGCTTGCAGTTGAGTTCTGAAAGAATTTCTGCTAGGATATTCCATCTTTAATATTTTACTAGGTTAGCTGTTCTTTTGTTTTTCCTCAATCTTCCGGCGTTGCTGGATGCTTCTGCTTGAATATATGGCGCGCCTATCCAGCTGTTCTGCAGACCATTATGTATACCTGTCCAGTGAGAGCATACCAAAACTCCTACATGTGCAACAACAAAAAAGTACACAATCTTTCTTTCGCCTTTTTTTCAAACCACCAACCATTAATGCTGATGCCCTATGAGCCCCCTATTCCCTCCATAAACTTTGCAAGTATCAAGGGCCCGGATTTCCATCGGTCCAGTACCCAGGTCATCCCAGTGCCCTCAACCGAACCAGTTCCACCTGGCTTAATCCGGTTCTGACAGACCTTCCCTGGAAAAACAGTGGGCAGGTTTAGATAGCCCGGTTGGATGGCGCAACATCAGTGCCTAACGAAAAGCTGCCGAACCTGCACAACACCGTCGCTAGCCCATATTCAGATCGAGCTTTAAGCTACCTCCCGTAGTACCGTCTACTGAGCGAATGCCTCGTTCACCTTCATGAAATAACCAATGATGGCTTCTCTCGTCTTTATTTCTTCTACTGATGGCAACTTACGTTACTACAACAGCTACCTTTCACCTGAGTCTCACTGGCCTCACCGGATAAGATTCTCGACCGTATCACTGTTAATCAACGGGCCATCTGAGTAGGAAGTCTGCGCCTAATATGCCTACTTCTCCAGGCGAAAACATCAATCACCTCGTTTCTGAAATATTGACCTCACTCTAACTGCTGCTTGTCTTGTGAATGGTCTACTAGAACCCGAAACTTGGTTATGGGTTCAGGAGACGGAGAGCACTAACAACGACACCTGCGTCAAGTAAAATTAATACAACAGGTACACGAATGAACGAAAGACTGCCCTGTTTTTGCGAGTAAGAATGCAGGTTTTTGTCTCCTTTGCTGCTGTAACAGGTACACGTATTTCCTGACTTTTCACGAGCGGGGCGCGGCTAGAATCCGAGCTGGGCGACGTGAGTAGCTCAATTGAGTTGCGTCCTGTTGCTGTGTTGTTTTCCTATACGTAGGAACGTTTGTTTATATGTCAGCACATGATTCGTTGCTACACGTATCAGACGGTAGACAGTTAATATCAGATGAGCCACTCATGTATGTCATACTTTGTAAATGTGGGGAAAATAGGCGAGTCCCATGATCTAGGGAGCGGCTGTGAGCTGCGTAGTCAAGTGAGGCACGAGTGTGTGGCGTGAGTTGTGATTGTAAGAAAAAGGCAGATCTCGTGACCTCGTGAGTGGCGGTGAGCTGTACAGTCAAGAATATGGGTGAAGGAATGGCTACAATCTTTGGCGAGTTTCCATTCCACATCGCAGCGCAAAATGTGGACGCGGAATAGGCGACCAAAACTTTTCCACCTCACTAGGCTGCAATTCATCCTCCAGCGTCACACTACTAGCAGGAAATAATTGTGAGGTTACATGCGCATTTCAACCTTTAACGTCCTGATGCATCTACTTCTATCGGTCATTCAGACAAAGGTGGAGGCCTAGATGAAATTTATTTGTTTCAATCGAGGTCCATTAGATGCACAATGCTTTTTGCTGCAAAACACCTGGATGTAAAATAGAACTTCTCGCACCAAAATGTTGTATTTTGTCCTGTATGTCCTCATCTAAAAACATCATTTTCTACTCTCACATTTTTGCAGCTCACATAATTTCATTTTCCGATTAAGCAATTTTTCCTTCGGCGGAAAGTCTGGTGGAATGATTTACTAGCGTCACTGAAACCTCGGGATGCGTAGATTAGGCTCAAAAGCTTGGAGTCGTACTCTGAACTTAATTACCTGACTCTTTTGGCCCACCAGTCTCATGTCGTAGCTTCCAAAAATTCGACTCCATTGTGCGAATACTGAGCCCCTTCGCATGTGTGCTGTATCCTGTTAATCCCTTTGAACCACAACAAGGGATAAAAAAGTGGCCTTCTATGGTTTCAGCTCCTCAAACCTAATCTGCTCGAAAAAGAGAGGGCTGCCTGTCAGACTTTCTGTGATGTCGACTTATTGCTCGTCTCCATACTCACTGCTTCTGGAGTATGTGGAGGGAACTGAACGGCAAATATTGCCATGGTAACACTCAGCGAGTTTACGAAGTTTTGACGATGTCCGGCTTGGCACATTTACAACAAGTATTTGGGTTCCGAACAGGAATTTCAGGATCTGTTGTCTTTCAAGATGAGCAGACGATTGTTTTTCCCTGTGGTTCGAATCTGGTGCTATATAATACGGAACAGAAAACGCAAAAATTTATTGGGGGGTTGGATAAATCTACTGGGATGACAGCGATGGCTATAAGTCCCAACAGACGATATGTGGCGCTAGGTGAAAAAACTGCTGAGAAACCGGTTATAACTATTTATGATCTACAAGCTCTTCGAAGAAAGAAAATCATATCCTCCCCTGATGTACACTCTACGGAATTTGCTAGCATAGCTTTCTCTCCTGATTCAAAGTACCTCGCAGCTCAAGGTGCCAACCCTGATTGGACCTTGGTTTACTGGTCCTGGGAAAAGTCAAAGCAGCTTGCGTGCGTTCGTACCTCTGTTGGAAATCAGATACGACAGGTATAAATACAGGGCTCAATGTGGCTCGTTAACCGATTTCTTTACAGATTTCATTTAATCCACATGATTGCACTCAAATATGTGTGATAGGGTCAGATATATTCCGACTGTATAGGTACGGCGATGGTAACCTCAAGCCCTACGGATTAACCAAGGTCGAGCCACAAAACTTCTTATGTCAAGACTGGGTGACGGAGGAAAAGCTTGTTGTTGGAACAGAAGAAGGCAAGTGGATTTTACTAGAAAACGGGGAACCAAAATTTGAATACAATGTGTCCTCGCTGGTAAAACCTGGCGACAACTCGAGATCTATTTTAGAAACGTGAGTGCTCTTCTTCTTACTGACCAGTCAAAATTGCACATAGGTTTCTGTATGCCATATTCATGAAAAGTAGTATCTGTCACCGACTCCATGTTTAAATGTTTAATTTTGATGTAATTATGGGAGCTGGATGTAGATAACACCCTCGCATGTTTGAGTGCGGAGAACAAAGTGACATGTACCAATCCTATCTCTTGGACACATCGCAATGTAGCATCAATACAGAAAGAATAGATTCAGTCTACGAGGGTGTGAATTTCTGGGATCCAATGTAAATATTCTGAAGTCACCATGAAACGCTGGTTTAACGTAAGCGTTTTTGAATGCTGAGGTGCTACTTACTACATCGTCTGCGTAGTTCCTCCACGAGAGTGCTGTCACACAGGTCTAGTGTGAGTTACCGGAAACAATAGCAAAACTGCTTCAAACACAAACCAGCGCAAAGCTTTTGCGCATATGTGACTCGAGCAAGGAATAAATTTAATATTCTGTAGAAACGATTGATATTCAGATATGGTTTGCTGGTGTACAGTCTAATATGTGGCAGCATGTACGTTGGTGTAAATTATTTGGCAGACGCATATTTAAAATACAATCTTTGGTGCCTTCCCAAAAGGTTGGCTGCTCAAAACGATGTTCCATCCATTTTGAGGAAGAAACCAGCAAGATGCAGACCGTTTAAACCCCAAGAAATAGAGAGCAAGGCAGAGGTAGTTGCAGCAAACGCAAAAATTTCTATAATGCTGTGTATAGCTGAGAACTCTTTCTTACGTTAAGGTTGTTGTAGAGTTTTTTAATGAGATGTAAATCTGCCGCTTTGCTCGCTAGTGGAAAGGATTTATGTGAAGACCGTTACCACTATTCCATGGCATTCCGCCCGAAAGAAATTAGTCAGAATAGAAATTGCGTTTAGGCAAGCCGTATCGGGGTTCAATGTTCAGCGTTTTTGGTGCTGCTGTTACCGGAAACTCATACAGTTCCAGTTTGCTCATCGTATCAATCACGCTTATCTCTACGTGCCAGACTGCGTTTGCAGACTATGACTAAACTGATGAATATTTCTTCATAACGTGGTAGGAGACATATCCATATGACTAAAAATTAGCAGCTCCAGACTAACAATTTTGTAGCAATGGAGTTCATTACGTATATCAGTATAACCAAACAAACCAGAAATTCAAATAACAATCGGCACATGTGTATTACATGTGTATTACACATGTGTATTACATATGTATGGCATATGAAACAGAATATGAATTAATAAATAGAATATGAAACCAAGAGAATAATGTGTGGAGAAATGAATATAGCATCAATCATGTTCATCACAATTTCACACTCAGAAAGATACACCATATTAATGTACACAATGACCATTGGGGTCAAAGTAAAAGGCAGTGTTTAGCATGAACTTGCAATTAGTTTTATTATATACGTTCTATGAAACGTATATAATGGAACGATCTTTTCAAACAACGCAGTTAAACGTGTTTTTGACCTCGTAAATATCTTAGTGGTATTTGCTCTCTTGCTTAAGTACTCTGATGTCATGTTAAAAATCTCATTGGACGGTTTCATACACAGATTTTCAAGTTGAATTTCTTTCCTTCACTTTGCAGTCTTTTTCGTCCTGTTTATTGTGACTGCTCATGTAATAGTTTATGTAACACTGTGAGTGCAACTGCCAAAACCTGAAATACTTTGGAGTTTCATGTTCATTCCTGAACTTGGCTTATTACATATGACATTACATAACGGTGGATACTATTTCGCTAAACGTGTTTCTAAGATGCAACAAAATACAACTCATTTCAGATTCCTAACTATGGATGATTTCAGATGATTTTAGCGGTATTTCAATTGGTATAAGTATACACAGGCGCAGTTTTAAGGTGGCTTTCAAAATAATGGGCACAGAATAAAAGGTTTTTCCAAGCCAACTGAGGCCAGTTTTAGATGCACTGGAAGTTACCTAATTTTTTTCGAAAACATCATATTTGATACTTGAAACTCACAATTTGCGGTAGAAAATTAGCACGGTACGCTGCGAATGGCTGCAGTAGCATAAGTTTATGGCCCAAGTGTATCCAGCTGTGACAATAAAGTAGAGCTCGTTACTCAACGGGTTAGATTATGCTAAACAACAATCTTACAATTATGACGATCAATATCACTACCATTGTCACCATCATCATCAATCTAATCGACACGGCAACTGCATCGTCACCAGAATTATTCTTACCGTTACCCTCAATATACTAACCCTGGTCATCGTCATCATAACTGGCACCAACTTAATGATTGCCATTTCTTGTCAATTGACCTAGGTAAAGACCCAATAGTGTAAAGGAAATGAGAGAAGAGATCTTTGCCATTCTGAATTAAAAGACTTCGAACAATCACACCTGATACTTTCAAAGAGTATTTCAGTTTACGTAGCTCACAGCAAAATGCAGGCGAATTACGTTTAGGTTTTTCGTACTAACATGAAGCAAAGCATAACGTTCATTCACTGGACTCAAAAGCAGTATTTCTACAGTATGTGATGGTATTGGTAATGTGTCGAAATATTGGTGGCTGTGGTGCGTTTTTTGGCTATTGATCCGGAAGCTGTGCATCCGTTCTCCGAGCTTGATTGTTACCCCGAATACAAACTATCACCAAACTAGCAGATATCACCAGTGCTCAGTTAGGTTACCTAATGATTTTTTTGGTGACAAAACTTTTGGAAGACAAGTAACAAGCAACACGAACAAACAAACAAACAAACCGCCAGGCCAACAGACACTGGGCTCGTTTTGTTAAACGAATAAGATATACTACAAAGGCTCATTGAGTGCATTCTTTAAAAAGTGATTGACTTTTAGGACAAAAATGGTGAGAAACTTCAACCTGCAGATGCAAAAACTATAAACCTTGCGATATTACGTGAAATTCATTATAGTGCAACCAAATCCCTCAGGTACGAAGGCATTTAACTGAATGTTTCATAACAGTGTCTCATGTTCTAGTTGGTATGGTATAATAGACATCGTAGTACATTGTCCAGATGTAACAGACCACTCATAGGATTGATGAAAACCCTTCAACAGCCTAGGACCAATTTTGCTCTCCTTGGGGCTCATCAGATAGGCCCAGTCCACGAGTTTTTGTCAACCTAATATTCTAACTAAACACATAATGCACTATAATGTTCAACTAAAAGTGCTGCATAGACGTCGTTTCATATTTCATATGGTACATTTAACAAGAAATCAGGTCGGGTGTCCAAAGCAAGCCAAATCAGTATTCAGCCTTGGATACTTTGTTAAATTCGTCAAATTCTGGTTTAAGTCAAACATATGGTTGCTTACAAACGTCGAAGGTGTATTTGAAAAGCCATCCACACGCAAACTGTCATGAATGTGGAGCCATGAAAATATTTAGCACCATCTTCTGTAAAGAATATACTTACCCGTAAGCTAACTCATTGCGACCAACATTGAAAGGATACTTTGGGATTGTTGCATGGTAATCGGAAGATTTATACCCGAAACTTTATTATGCGCCAATCTTTGCTGCCAATCCGACTGCAATCAGCATTGTTGTTGTCCACCCACATGCTGACTTTTATCAGTCAAACACAGCGCATATATTAAGAGGAGGGAAGTATTTTTTGCGTAGAAAACAGTTTAATAGTAAGTGGTACAAATTGTTTTCACTTTTTATCACTCATTTCCAAGGTGGTATTTGTGGACGTGAATCCGGAATTTATAATAGCAGCCATTGGTAAAACATCAGTGGACCATCAGGTTCACTGATTGTTTTTCACCCGAAATTTTCGCAAATATGTATATGAACCGACTCGTGCTTGTACACAAGTACTTGTGTGCAATAAGGTTAACAAGCCTTGAATCGAAACCAACCGATGCAAAAATCTAAATTTAGACTGTTTCACAATTGCTGCAATAACGCTGTCACAGAGTTTGGTACTTCTTAATGGAATGTCGATTTTCACGGCGACTGCAGAAGTGACTCCTTCTGTTTACTGTTGAACACTCATCAGATATATTCATTTGGTAGCTGGCCACCAAGGAAATCGGGGAAGTTTCCTAAACGTGGTTTATAAACGACAATAGATTCTGAGGAAAATACGAAGGGTATTTTATTCGCTAATTTAGAAATGAAAGTTCTCCAGCAGCTTTTCTACTCTGATCGTTACTGCAAAATGAGACGCTTAAATTGTGGTGTGTCAATTTAACATTAAAAGTGAGGGATCAAGAGTAGACTACCTTGAGTTCACATTAACTGCACCAAGCTAAATATTCAGAATCATCTAACTTTGCACCTATCGGTTATTTTGCCCTTGCGGGAATTCACGCATTCAGCAGAGTGGAGAGACTTCAAAAACGGGAACACCTTGATCCGTCATGTACTTTATCGGAGTAAATTACAATGAACTAGAAATTTGCATGACAACGTGGATGAATAATTAGCTTCTAAAATAAGCAAACCATCGTTCTAACGGTCGAGTCACTTTAACACCGTGCCATCCTTACCCGGCTAAGCATTTGGGGGCCAAAGCGCCTCGCAAATTTTTTCCTTTTCCTCACATGGGTTTACAACAGTATGAAAACAGTGACGCTTACTCTGGTCGTTGTAACAGTTATGTGTTAGCCGTAGTGGTTTTTTCACTGGCGGATCAGATTTGCGGCTTATGAATACGTTGGCCAGCCTTCCATTTGAGAAGCAACCAATGGATATCGCGATCTAGGTTGCTCCAATCCGCACCAATTCACACCAGATTACTCTGCCTTTCTAAGAAGATGTGATTGTGGATCGCACTTGGAAAATTATTTTGTATCACACAATAAAACGGAGGTTTTCAGGATAGGAATAAAAAGTAGACAAGTATTTTGAGCCTCAAAATTCCTGTTTCACCCCATTTAGTGAGGTTCTCAGTGCACAAAAATAAGTACTGCTTATGCTTCTATTGGATAGGCACTGAGATGCTCCTTTTAGAACCTCGGATAGGTGACCTGCATTCTCAAATCCTGAAAAGCCAGGCTGTTAAGGGCGACAAATTAATTTGACTTATTTCAAAAGTGTTTATCAGAGGTTTGTTTCCTTACACGTTACCCAAGTAAAATTCACAGGTGTAAATGACCTCAAGAGTTGATCATCCGAGATTTCACTCTTTGTGAATCTAACATACACGAAACCATTTTCGGTAGTCTTTAGATGTTCGTATGGGCTAAATCATAATGTGATCAGCGAAGAAGCAGATCTTTGATCGAAAGCATCAAATCAAAGAGTTGCGGACTTACAGCATGTGAACAAAGTCTAGAGTGTAACGTGCTGGAAAGCTAGTTTCAAAAAAACGGAATCACAGGTTCTAAAACATTACAAACAACCGAATCATCGTTTACTTGGAATCATGTCTGTAGTAGGACAGCTCTACCTCTCCCTTCTTGTCCCATATTTTCCTCACATTCGGATAAGCGAACATATTATGTACCAGTGAGAAACCAGCATTCTTCTCCGGTTTCGTTGGCAATTACGATGATAGTGAAATAAAGTATTTCACTTTGGAGGCTATTACCAAACTTAAAGAAAAAGATATAAGTTATGTTGTCTAGTTTGTTAATGATTTTTAAGAGTATGAATTAGGGGAAAGAATTGTAAGTCTTTCATTCCTTATTTTTTATGGTACTATTATTCAGGAAGGACACTGAAATCTCCGGGGATAAGCCGGAACGCAGTATCACAGCGATTGTTGCAACCAGCAAAGGTCTGGCAGTTGCCTGTTCACCTGGCGTGGTACACTGGTTTGAAAAGAATGAGGATCTACCCAGTAGAGGTACACACAGTGCGCCTACACTCAATTTGACCGGACAATCATCCAAGGACATCTACAGACTAGTTCGCAGTATCCATGTACCAGTGGATCCTACAAGTAGCTCGGAAGCGGATCGTTTGAGCAACCAAAAAATCACCCATTTGGTAATCAGTCCGTCTGAAGAACTTATGGTAGCGAGTACCGACGCACATCAGCTCTACAGTTTTAGCCTGAGTAGCTTTGAAATGACAATGAAGAACACGGAACTATTACAGAAGAACTTTGCTGGGGGTCCAGTTAAGAACCAACAGGTGCCTTATGAGTCGCTGACATTCGAACCGGTCGCTCAAGCATTCCACCACGGACAAATCCTCGGAATGGATACTTGTATTCGAAAACCCTTGATTGCTACTTGTGCAGCAGACAGATCAGTACGAATTTGGAACTTCGAGTCAAAGTAGGTCTTACGGGAATGCCTATATTTCTTGTCTATGTGAGTCATGCCGGATTTTATTCTAGCATGTGTTATTATCAGGCCAAAATGGTGGTCACACGTACGAACTGGCATACAGGCTGCTAAACGCCTCATCAGCGCTCAAGCTGTGTTCGAATATGATGGGACTTACAACACTTACAGAGAAAAGACAGTTTTAACGGTAAGGAACGAACAAAGTGCTTATTTTTATCACTCGCAAAAACTTCTTTATTAGGCAAATCTCTCTGTAATCCATACTAAGCCCATCGGAATAGGTATCACCTGCTTCGTCGATTCACTTCGGAGACGCAGTGCACAAACTTATAAGCTTATAGCCTTTTGTAAAATGCACGTCATACATTTGACAAATTTAAAAGTTTTTAAATCCACAGGTAGCACAAATTTGTCAACCTCCAAAAAATCTGGGTTTTATGTCACAACTGGAATCTACCAATGCCTAGCAGCGCTGTACGGTTGTTGTATCCAATGACGTGAAACGCGTAACGCCACATTCTGCTTAGGTTTAGGCTGGTCGCACTACTGATCAACCGGGAGTAGTGCAAAAATAGAAAGCTCGAACGTCAGATTTCAGCATACCTTGAGTTCTGTGTGATACATATTGCTGATAATTGGTTAGTAAGAATACGCGTATGGTCACTTCTAACTTTTCCCGACTCCCTGGGACAACTGGAGTCGTAGATAAAATGTTTACTGGACCGTGTTGACAGACGATCGAGTCCGGCTTCGTTCAGCTAATGCGTTCACATTAGGAAAAATCTCGTTGTTGTTTGGGCCTTTACGACCGCTCACATCTGGTTACTAGTTGTTATTCTTGGCCATCTTCATGAAATGATGAAAAGTATGGAGTCACTATTTGACTGTCAACTAGTAGTCAGATTCCTACCGAAAGTTTATATTCATTTTTGTAAACCAAGCAAAGGGTAATCAGCCTTGTTTGCTTCTGTGGCTGCTTTTTAGCCGGAAAATTCAAACTTGCGGTCAAACAATTGCGCAACGGTCAGTGAGAGCAAGGGTTACAAAAATTGCGGCATAAATCCGAAAGCCCTCACTAAGATACTGATATTATGTGAATTCTGTCATGCATTCGGTCAGAAAACTGATTAGCCTGAAATTCTCATCATTTGTTCAGCTATCTTGACAGTTTTGCCTAAAATATGACCAATCCTTTGGCTTGTGATGCACTTTTTCAGTTTAGGAAAATCGATCACAAAGGCAGTGCTCCAGCTCTCATCCAACTAGAAATATCTTGATCTCCAGTTGGCAACCAAACTTACTTGTGTGAATAGCTGCCATTATACGCCAAGCCTATGACAGTATCTATTCGTGGAACTTTCGAATCCAAAAGAGGAAACCTGGAATAGCCTAGTAACCAAAAGTAACTCTGTTATTTATCCTTCAGTGTAAAAAAATATTAGAATATCTCTTGATCGTAAAATGGATATGCAAAAACGGAGGTGTCCAGTCTTTTTCATGTATCTTCAGCATCTCGTAGTTTTCTGGCAGTCTAAAAATAAAGTAACAGATGCTTCCGTAATACACTATTCCCAAGAGCGAACACCTCCGCCGTTATTTCTTCAAGGCCAGTCCAAAACTATTGGACAATTTATAGGGGGAATTCGATTTTGATACGTGCTATATCTGCCTGTATCTTTGAATAGCATGCTTAGATTTTTTGTTCTTCCCGAACAGCTCTTTGGAACTGTGCAAACAGTTTGCTGAGGAGGCGTACAGTATTGCTCTTCATCCGACTGGGCTGTATATCCTTGTTGGATTTAGTGACAAGTTGCGGCTGATGAACTTGCTAATTGATGATATTCGTACCTTCCACGAATTTCCCATCCGCGGATGTCGAGAGGTACGTTGCAATAAATCTCAGTCAACTCCATTTCACCTCAAGCTCATCTTTGTTATCATTGAAATGTGTGCTGAAACCTAGATAGTTCCTTGAAAAACACACATTTTTGTACCAATTTAGTTTTCACGGGAGACTCAGCCGAATCTCTCGTTTATAACATTTTTCACTTCTTTACAAGATATTTACACCAGTGTCTTCATATTTTTTCTGCAGTTCCGTCATTCTATCGATCAATCTGTCTACCTGTGTTTACCATAGTCTGTCCATAAGAAGGCTACAACCGACTACAGTTTTTAAAAATATTTTTCAAGTATTACTTTACGAATTATGCACATACATTACTTTTCTCATGTGGGTGAACGGATTCTTGATAATAGTTCTCACTACCTTCAGATAAAGAAGCTCCTCAAAGCATAGTAAGCTTGCCACTTCACAGGCGTTCGAAAGAAGGCAGTCTGTGAAATTAGACAGATTTCATTTTTGTGCCAAAGCCGTCTTGATAGCTATTAGGGGTTCACCCCGCTGTGACTCGCCCACACCCAAAAAACCCGAGCATTTCGCTCAGTTTCCCAGTGATCCAATCCACATGTCACAGTTGCGCAAGAATGTGCAAACGCGCTCACCTGCCTCTGGCGCACGCGGTGTTGCGAGGGGAACAATCAGGTGTCTGATAATGGCAAGGCACCGAAAATCCTGAGCCCTGTACTCCTATCCCCGGGCACGACAGCACACGGACAAAACTGAACCAGGTGATCTGGAGTGCACGGCACGTCCGATCGATTCAAAGATGTGTTATAATCAGATTGACTGAGATTGAACAAGTGGAATGACGGTTTAACGGTGGGCGCGCAGCTACAAGCGTGATTGGCAATCGATAGCTGTCGGTGGTTTTCATGTTTTGTCAGGATAAGACAATGAAATGCCAACTCTCGATGCGACACCTATGGATAGTTTCTCCTGAAACTGCAAGCACCCGCAGGCAGTATGAGTCAATCTTGCTGACTGCAATTCCAGGGAGAATTATTGGCCAATCCCAAATTTGCGAACAAAAGCTGACAAATTATTGATTTCTTTCGATAAATTATAGAACGACTTTTGTAACACAATTAGCTGGATAGAGGAAGCTGTGAAGAAGCTTCTTCGAACTGTGTACAAACTTTTGTGGCACACTCAGCAAAGAGGCAAGTGGGAAAACATGAAGTCTGGATTGGTTGTCTTTCGATTTACTTTTGATCGTGCGTTTCTCCCTTACACTTCAACTAGTCTTAGAGAAAATAGTAGAACACTGATTTTAGCGGAGGCGATAAATGACTGCCAGGAAACGTTCTCGTTGCAAGTCATCGTCCACGTGTCAGTGGTTACCTGTAGCATGAATTTTCTACGATGCAGCTCGTCCAGTCCATGAATTACATATTCACACGTCACAGCCTAAACTTTCACAGAAAGCGGATGAGTCCAGTGTAACTTACAGGTGACCACTTATTAACCTTGCTTTTACGCGAAATTTGATACCAAGAAGTATACAAACAGCTTTCCTTCAGTCAATCAGTCAGTCAGTTATTCAGCCATGAACCTTGAATTGTTTTGCAGTGGCTCCCTCTGCCAAAATCTCTTCCACCGAGAATACAGAGATTTTTGGAACTGTATTCATGCCTCCTTCTATCAAGCTTGTGCCATCAATCGTCCGGTCGATGAGGTTGTATTCATTTCGCCCACAAAAGTGGCATTCTGCGTATTTCAAATCAGCTAGGCTGCTTCTAATGCATCTCAAAGTAGATCGACGCGCGGTGTGTCCCTGGTCCTCTGAATAAGTTGCACCGGTTCGCCGTCATGTTCGAGGGCTAGTTGGATTGTGCTCAAGGTTTGCATTTGCTGTCACATCTGCCCGCATTCCATTCTACCTACCCATCTATCTATCTATCTATCTTCTATCTATCTATCTATCTATCTATCTATCTATCTATCTATCTATCTATCTATCTATCTATCTATCTATCTATCTATCTATTCTATCATCTATCTATCTATCTATCTATCTATCTATCTATCTATCTATCTATCTATCTATCTATCTATCTATCTATCTATCTATCTATCTATCTATCTATCTATCTATCTATCTATCTATCTATCTATCTATCTATCTATCTATCTATCTATCTATCTATCTATCTATCTATCTATCTATCTATCTATCTATCTATCTATCTATCTATCTATCTATCTATCTATCTATCTATCTATCTATCTATCTATCTATCTATCTATCTATCTATCTATCTATCTATCTATCTATCTATCTATCTATCTATCTATCTATCTATCTATCTATCTATCTATCTATCTATCTATCTATCTATCTATCTATCTATCTATCTATCTATCTATCTATCTATCTATCTATCTATCTATCTATCTATCTATCTATCTATCTATCTATCTATCTATCTATCTATCTATCTATCTATCTATCTATCTATCTATCTATCTATCTATCTATCTATCTATCTATCTATCTATCTATCTATCTATCTATCTATCTATCTATCTATCTATCTATCTATCTATCTATCTATCTATCTATCTATCTATCTATCTATCTATCTATCTATCTATCTATCTATCTATCTATCTATCTATCTATCTATCTATCTATCTATCTATCTATCTATCTATCTGTCCGTGCATACACCATCGGCCTCAATCTCTGCCGATGTCTTTTTGCGTACGATTTATTTCGAGATATTTTTCCACGACTACTGGTAATTGTTGAATTTCTGGTTGACTGTCGCAATATTTTAAACACGTTCGTTGACGCTAAACTGAATTCTATCTGGCGTATAAATCTAAATGTTTTACTTCTACTGCCCATAGTGTGCTTTTAGCAATGGCGGACACCTGTTGGCTGCTGTGAACGGAAACGTGATTCAAATATTTTCTTTGACGACGTTCGAAAACGTAACCAACCTAAAGGGACACAATGGAAAAATTCGCTGTATTGTCTGGTCTCATGACGATAATAAGTTGATTTCTTGTGGAATGGATGGTGCTGTTTACGAATGGGATTCACAGAAGGGTGAGTTTTGACTTTCGTTACCATGGTACGACTTGTTGTTGTCTTGCAAATTACCAGTAGACTACCCTATTTGCCTTAGTTGCTTTAAATTCTACAGGCATCACTGTTCATCTTCCAAGGATATTCAGGTATTTGGAAATCAAGTAATATTCAAGGGGGTTGTCAGAGGTCGAACAGTGCAACATGAGATCAGTTCCTGTTCTTTCTTCTGTCAAGAAAGAACAGTTTCAAAAAACAATTTGAGTGTTACCCAAGCAATTAGGTCAGTTCAGTGGACCTAACCACACACGGAGAAAAGAAGCAAATAAACTTTTTCCAGGTAGTTCGCAAGGCACAGCACCTTGTACATACACCGGAGGTGTTTTTTATTAATACTGGCGGACCTAAGCAACGAAAGTCGGTGGTAACTGAAGCACATTCGAAGTATGAATTATGATCGGCCTGTTGCATATAACTACCAGCCAATGGATTTACCGGCCGTGTGGATGTTTGGTTTCTGGGCTCAGCGGAATGTCAGTAGTTTCATTCTGGTGAAATCAGTGTGCACCAATAGACCGGAGTTGACACCCTGAACTAGCATATTAGACACAAGTGGTTCAATTTCTGGCACCCCCAAGGAAGCCCCAATAAGATCGAAACTCGAGTCTGGTATTTCCAACCTTTGGCCGGGAACAACTAAAATAATTGTGCCAGGACACAAGGAAAATTGTTTCGACATGAGTAATGAGAGTGCGAATTATGTGAACCTCACCATCACGCACAACTAAAAGTGAAATTCACAAAACCTTCCTAATTCCTGACTGAGAGAGCTGTGTATATTTGAGGGCCTCGGTTTTCGCACAATATCCTTCTGGTCATAAAAATTCAGGAACTGTTGAGGCCAGCACGCATTCAGTCTATGCACCACAATATGATACGTCACATGAATAAAGTACACCAGTAGCCAGAGAGAGGTGTAGGAGATTTGTATTTGAACATATTGAATGCACATTGATCCACGGTTCACTTTGACTCATCTTTGACCCATGGCTTTCCCTGGACAGCAAGATTTGTGCGCTTCTTAAGTGTTTTTTTGAAGAAAGAAAAAGAGGTTTTGAATGGCACGAAGAATCGAATTGCTTTAGTTCTTGCTCCGTATATGTGGCTTTTTACCCGTTAGCTATACTTTAGCAGTACTTTAAGCCTCGGACCTTTGGTGAAAGTTTGAATTCCAAATTCTCTTACTGGAAATAACAAACTTCCCGTTATTCATGTTCTACCTTAATTGTCTTTGTTCTACACCATTCAAGGAACACGAACCGGAGAAAGTGTACTGAAAGCCTGCAGTTACACCTCTGTAACTGTATCTGCGGACACAAAAACGACGTACGCTGTTGGTTCCGATAAGTCGTTGAAAGAAATCGTCGATTCACAAGTAAGTTCGCCTAGAAATCTGAATAATGTGTTACCCGCTTTAGGAGATTCATAACTGAAGTAAAGAAGTACCAGAAACGTGGTTAAATACGACGCCTATTATCTCTCTTGCATCGACATCCATCAGTTCATCCATGTCGTTTTTAACGCACTAACACACCAGTTCGTCCGAAATTAAGCTAATCCGGCAACCTTACGGGTAGTGTACTACATCTAGACTACGTGTTGCAATAACTCAATTATGGTACCTACTTAAACATGAGACGGCCTTTTGCAGCAAATTCAGCTGGAGATGACCATCATAAATGAACGTGACAGCTGGACTAAACCGAATCTCCCATATAAATCAATTTAATGTGCAAATGAGCGGTTTTAGCGAGTTCCCATCTGTACTTGCAAAAAGTCAACAATTCAACTGGTTCATCTCCTACCGATCAGTAAGCGAGCAAGCAATTATTGACCAGTTGATCACTCAATCAACTAGCTAAGTAAGTGAGCAGATAGAGAAGCTACTACACAAACGGGAGTGAGTGTCACCAAATAGATGATTATTTAATTCAATAGGTTAATGAGCAGCCTAAATATTAAGTATACATTTAAGTAGTTAAGGTGAAATGGAGCAGGTCAGTCTGTCTGTCTCTTTGACCTGTCATTGTCTTGTGAGGATGTGGCACCCAAAAGGCCAGGTAATCTGATTTCGCCGTGTTCAACAACTCAGCACCCTATCCTATATCTGCTGATAGTGCAGTGACTTCCTTTGCAGTTTGGCAGTATTATCAAACTTCAAATTTTAGCAACCAAGAACTGTGAATGAAATGGACTGTGAGTGCTGCTGTTCATTTTCTCATTTTTATCCTCTGAGTCAGGCCGAAGTTAGTGAGAAGACAGGAGGATGTTGAGGTATGTATGCAAAACATTTTTGCGTACCATCTGTGACACTTTTTATGGAAGTTTTCTTCTAAACTATTCAATGGCTGGGGTAACTGATCTGAGCGTGCCACAGATACAGCAATCCGATTTTCGGAAAGTTAAGAAAGTACGCTGATTTTAAGACAGTAGAAAATTCGTATCATGCAATCTTTAGCTGATAAGTTCTTTTTTTGACGGGAAGCACTAATCAAGTTTAATGGCCAGCCTCAGAGTTGAGAATAGTTTACCTGAAGATAATTTCATAAAACTCTGAAAATGCTAACCATTCGTCTCCAGATAAATAGTGTGGAATATATCTAACGTCGGTCAGCTGTAGCATCCTTTCGTTGTCCAGCTGCAATGCCCCCCGAAGGAAGCACGAGAGTTGAGATACTGGACAAACCTAGGTAGGAGCAGTCCGGATGCAGAGATTGCATATGAACCAGAGACCTTTGGGACCAACATGTTCGTGCCCCAATTGTGAGCTGTCTACAGGTCCCACTTCTAATATACACGAAATTCCTCAAGCTTTGCAATAAAAAAGGTCACCAGTGATAGCAACGCGGACGGTCGACAGGCGTGGGAAAAGTGTATCGGCAGAAAACAAAGTGGACAGTAATTCACAGCAAGCGGGGGAAAACGTGACACAGAAATGGGTCCGCTAAACAGTAGCATCAGAAAGACAGTGGGGCAAAATATTTACTGACAGCCAGAATGAGACTTGTAATATTCAGCTAGCCAATAGGTTAAAGTTCGGAGTGTCGGTCGTGTTTCAGGATCATCGTCAGTAAAAAACATTGATCTTTCACGTTTTATTACACACAGGTGAGTTAAAGAGGAGTGCCGGTGTACATATAGTGGGCATGGAAGCACAAAACTCAGGGTGGAAGTACACGTTGAGCCATCAGTGGGACAGCTCGAGGCTGTGGGAGTTTAGTAACGCAATGATGCGGAGGGTTGCAGAGATGGGAATTTCTGCAGAGGGAAAAAGGTTAGCAGCTCCGTTCAACAGTGTGTAACCAAGACTTCATACGAATGGATAGAGGTGAATGATTACCAGGGAAAGAAGGGAAAAAATAACAATAAGCTATTGATGTCAACAGGGAAAGCATATGTTCCTGAGAGACTTCACGCTGATGTTCTGAGTCACGAAGACAATCTGTTCATGGCGCAAGGGAATACAGCTGCCGCTTAGCCAATCTCCAGTCAGACTACTGAGGTCAGGGTGTGGATATGCGAGTTCAGTCCTGTCTCACCAGATATGTTTAAATGTAGCCAGGTGTGACACAAAGGTCAGTGTGTTGCCAGCAGTTGCCAGCGTCTGCATCCAGAGTCGATCAGACTATCGTCCATGAAGATGTTGTCTTGAAGTCCTCAGTAGTGTTGGTTGGAAAGAATGGACCCACAAACCCGGACGGGAGTAGTGAACAAAGTACAACTATTAAAGTGAGATTTAAACTTAGTGCAACTTGTGAAATTTCACGGGACGAAAAAAATCCCCGAAGAAAGAGAAGCAGGAAAAGGTTTTTGGATAACCGGTACAATTTTTACAGCAGTGCTTTCGAACAAAATTGGTGAGTGCTGTCAGGATCAGGTGATTTCGGGGTGTCGAGCTCTCACAGAGGAAGCCGAACAATCCATGTGGCGAGTGAAGGCAAATTAGAAGGGAAATACACTCATTTGCATACCAAGTTGGTTTTGACGGGAAACACCTAGAACTCAGCTGAATATCTCATTGATGTTCTTAAGCAACTGAATGTGCTGCGCCAGATCGCCTCATGCTTCAGTTGGTTAAACATAAGATTGTCGGAAACTCGGAGAGTGAGTCTACATGGTTAGCTTCAAGAAGGGAGAAACCGATCTTGGACTGCCGAAGAGTTTTCAGCAACCTAGTATGTAATGCAGTACATTGAAATCAAAAAGGATTGACAAAGAAAGATAAAAAATCAGGCGTTTATTGATGTGAGATAAGAACTGCTTGCAGAAATAGAAGTGAGGCTTCCCGAGTTTTAGCTTGAAAAAATATGGGAAAGCCAGAAGGACCGAGCATGGGAAAAACAGGAGAAACGAAAGTTACAATTGGCTGCTTTGACCGGGCTTTAAGATGGTCGGCTTCCACTTGGAGCTTCCACTTGATCTGTCATCCGACAAAATAACACATTTGGCTCAGTGGACTGCGACTCCACAAGAGCTATCGAAGGCGATCTAGTCAGCGTGTGGTGTCGAAAAAAGACTTTTCCACCACCTGAAGGTTTTAATTTTTCGAGCTGCGCACAGACTCAGAAGGTTTAAAATTCCAGTGGTGGGCTGCGGATTTTTGTTCTCAGGGACCAAAAATTTGAGTACATATCCAAATTATTCCATAAAAAAACATTTCCCGCCCTCACCAAATATGACTAAATGCCCGACGAATAACTTTCTTACGGAAAAAGGTTGAAAAATTGATTCATAGAGGAGGAAGTGTTTTAATAGACAATAACTTGAGGAGAGCAAGTGGGTTTTTCAGAAGAAAATGGGGAACAAACGTGATGTGGCAATGCTCAGGTGAACTCGCGGAAGAAAAGGAACGGGGCTGAGTCGTCGTGAATTACCCTAGTGTTTGGACAATATCATCATTATCAGTCATGGACTCGTATGGGAATTGGTGACAGAACAGAGCTCAGACTCAAGGAATGCAGGATCCGTGAGGAAGGACAACTGTATTCATCCCAAACTAGATGCATTAAAATGATGAAGAACGTATCGTTCGCGAATATACACTCATCTGCAAACTAATTTGGTTCTTTTGAGAGACTCACCTGGAACCCAGTTGAATCTCTCGTTTATGGCGTTCTCTGAGAACATCATAAAAGAGAGATTCAGCTGGGTTCCAGGTGAGTCTCTCGAAAGAACCAGCTTAGTTTGCAGATGAGTGTATATTCGCTAATTTCGTGCAATTTGGTTTCAAGTAGAACGTAAGGTTGACGGAAACCCGGGGACTTCGCCTACCTGATGAGCCCCAAGAAGGGCGAAACCGGCCGTGGGCTGTCGATGGATTTTCAAGCAACCTTAGGAGTAGTACATTACAAACGTATCGTTCGGTTGTAAATTACTCGCACTGGAGGGATCATTACCGTTCAGTGATCGCAAACATCAAAAAAGTGCGTGTAACCACGGGTTAGAGTGAGTCTGAGTCGGGAATACTGTAATCTGGACATACAAGCCTCGAGGGCAAACGGAAGTGAAAAAGACATAGACAACTGTGCTTGAGCACAAGCTCCGCCATTTAACAAAAAAATGCAGCAGTAAGTAGTTCAGAAACTAGACATAGGGGATCATCATACCCGGAGGCCTTTGTTTCGGCAAGGAACAATAAAGAATGAATGAAGGAAAATGAAAACAGGTTAACTAAGGTTAGCTTACGGCTAAAGCAATGAAAGTTTCAACACAGGTTCGAAGAATCGCGAGACAGAGCTTAGCAGTCATCCTCCAACTTTGTATATCAGCGTCTACTAGTAAGAACTATACCGGTGAAAGGAAGAAGGCCTTCGCTGCGGAGTTATTTATTCGGAAATGCCAACTGACCGGTTACAGACCATTGAACAGGGAAGCAAAACTCTAATCTGCATCTTAGTTACAAAAACTGGACACAGATCTTCTCCCGAACGAGTCTTCCTGGAGATTCATTGACTCCAATCATTCGTCGGTCAAATCCAAGCAAATGTTACAAAGTGGCCACGCGAATTCCGCAACAGAATTCACTTTTTCAATCGACGCAAGGCGAAATTCTACGAAAAACACATACTACTCGCGTGCCTCCCGATCAGCAGTATCACCATTACACCGGTATCTAACTCAGGTGCCTGAAGTGACGAACCACATAACGCCCTATATGTTGGGTTTATATGTTCAATGATGTAAAAGGCAGTTACCAGGATTAAACATGTGGATACGCCTAAACAGTTGCGGGTAATGTGTTGGGGCACCCCAATAAATACTGCTTATTAGTACGAGCACAGTGATAGTGAGTTTTCATGTCTGAACATTTGTCAGCCTTTGTGCCTTACATTCTTTTGAAAAAAGAATAAACCAGAAACGTATTCGAGCTTCAGGTCAGCATCACTGTTGTAGGAGTATGTGTGAACTTATTACCAGTAATCCTAATTATGCCCACAGTACAATCCAGTAAATCACGTGTTCCACAAGGCAAACAACTTTGTACATGATGCCCTGAATCATGTTTACTAGGGAACCCACTTAAGGGTGCAACAATTGAATGACGATGCACTAGTCATCCCGAACGCCCGACGCCAAGACGAAACAAGTGGGCTCTCTTGGAAGTGGCTTCTATCTCGCGTGGGTATTACACTAAATCTCTCTTAGGGAGTGGTTGCCGTGAAGGGGAGTCGGTGGTTTGAAAATGATCTAGTATCAAGTGGAACTGTTTTTTTATACAGAAACTGACGTGGCGAACTGCTGCATGTGGTGAATGGTGGTTATTCAAATGGTTATTTGATCAACATTGCCCTATTTCTAAGTTCATTTTTTGGTTTATGTTTTCTCCAAGCTTGTCTTTCGCAAAAGTCACCCTTTGAAAATGATCTAGTATCAAGTGGAACTGTTTTTTTATACAGAAACTGACGTGGCGAACTGCTGCATGTGGTGAATGGTGGTTATTCAAATGGTTATTTGATCAACATTGCCCTATTTCTAAGTTCATTTTTTGGTTTATGTTTTCTCCAAGCTTGTCTTTCGCAAAAGTCACCCTTTTTATTTTTTTCGACACAAACAGTGGTTCCTTATTATAAGATCGGCAAACCAGGAAAAAGTGTATCTTTTCAGTATTTTGTAGACGTTAGATCCTGCTTGCATTCAACGAACATGCCAGTCTCTTTGTACAGTAAGTAAGGTCAATTCTCCCTTGTTATTTATGAGATTACACGAGAAATCACGTCACAAGAAGACTTGCTGACAACCGTGGTATTGTCTCGCTCCGGGCGTATGTTGTTCTGTGGCTGTCAATCTGGCCATCTGCGCTCGTTTGTGTTTCCTCTGACTGACAAACCGGAATGGCAGGATTTCATAGGCCACTGTGCACCAATCACAAAAATGCAACTGACAGCAAACGACGAGTTCTTGGTCACGGTCTCTGATGACTGCGCCGTCATGGTTTGGCGTCTACAAGAACGCGATGCTCGAGTGGGAAAATCGGAGAAGGAGACGACATGGGCTGAGGAGATCTTGATCACCAAGTCGGATCTGGAGGAGAAAGTTAGTATCACTTGATTTTTATCGATACACAGAGTTGGTTCGGTCATCAGTTTCCATCAAGTGCCGAACGGTTTCTGGTTTGAAGATTAAGGCACATACAACTGTGCGTGCTGAGCTTGGACAAAATCTCATTAAGTTTTTCATCCTAGATTTCCACTCAAGTCTTCCGAGTAACTTACGTTTACGGCGTTCAGGTGAATCGCCAGTGATAAGAAATTTGGCAAACCACTAGCGATAAGGTATTTGGGGTTGGAACGAGCAGTGAAAAATCGGAGCTCTCAACTTTGTCGTTTATCGATATCGGACAATGAAGACCAGAGAAACTCATATAGTCGACCGCTGTAGAACTGAATTATCGTAAAGTAGGTTTTTGTTTCTACCCGATTGATTTCCTCAGTGGTAGCATTGATGAGTTACCGCGATCGATCTACTCAAAATATACCCTACTGTAAATAGAACGATTAACTGGCCAAGTGGACGGGTTCAGCTGTATGTCATAACCACCAAAGTTGGTTGGCTGCGAAACGCTCACCTAGAGAATCCAAAGTGACATCCATAGTTTGGTGCACTTTCATTTGGGCTACTGGCCACAAACCGACGGGTTTAAGAGAAGCAGTTTGAACTATTTCCCTTGATCATTAGGAATGGTATTTACAACACACTTCGCTAAGGGCGTATATAGTGGCTTTCATTCAAAATAGAGACAGAAACAATAATAAATTTGCCATGCTAATGTAGTTCCATAAGGAACTCTGTATCTCTTTCAGAATGCAATCATGGCAGAGCTGAAAACCCGAGTTGATGAACTGAAAATGGAAAATGAGTATCAGCTGCGACTGAAGGACATGAACTACAACGAACGAATTAAGGAACTAACGGAAAAGTTCATCCAGGAAATGGAGACACTGAAAACAAAGAATCAGCTGCTGAGAACTGAGAAGGAACGAGACGCTGCCCACCATGAGGTCCAACTCCAGGAAGTCATGGAGAAACATAGTCGTGAACTGCAGGAGTTGGAGTCCGTTTCAAATAGCAAATTAATGACAGAATACGAAAAGTTTCAAGAGTTACAGGGAGCCGCCCAGCGAAAGGAAGATGAGTATGACAAGAAACTGAAGACGATGGAGGAATCACGTGAACGCATGTTGGAAGAGTTGAACGAATTTTATGATTCGAAACTGGCTGAGAAAAATGCTGCAATGGAGAATTTAAGTCGCGAAATCCGAGAACAGACATTAGAGTATGAGGTAACCAAGCGCCTTATAGAAGAAGATGCCGATAGGGAAATTTTGGAGACCAAAATTCGTTATGAGCGACGCCTTAGGGATGAGCGAGAGGCAAACGCTCGCTTGAAGGGGGAGTCGGGAATCATGAAAAAGAAGTTCAACAGCCTGCAGAAGGAAATCGATGACCACAAGGAGGAATTGAAGAAGTTTCACGTGGAGACACAGAAGTTGAATACGGTTATCCGACACCTGGAGAAAGACATTCAAGGTTTGCGAAAGGAGATTCAGGAACGGGATGAAACCATACAAGATAAAGTAAGTTATTTCTGTTTTGCGACTGACATTTGTGAAAGGATCGTAATCATTTAGAGCTGATGCATTTCTCCACTTTGTGTTGGACAGTGCAAATTCTTTTGAGCCCGTGAATCACTGACTTTACCGACTCATTTTTCACTCAGGAAAAGCGGATATATGATTTGAAGAAAAAGAACCAAGAACTGGAGAAGTTTAAATTTGTTCTGGACTACAAGATCAAGGAGCTGAAGAAACAGATTGAGCCGCGAGAGAACGACATTAAGAACTATAAGGAACAGATTCAAGAGGTAAAGTAAGCCTTTTAACCTAAAAGTAGTAGGAATTTCGCAGTTGCGTTTTATTATCCGTACTAATAACTTCGTTAGTTTGGAGGTGGTAAGAGCACAGAGTGTATCAAATGAAACTGGTTGATATTTCTACCGCACTTATGGTATTGTCGACTAATATACCTCAACATTAACGCATGGGCTTTCGCTACTAATCGGCCTATCCAAGGTAAACGAGAGGCATTTCTACTGATTAAAACCTCGTCTGGTGATAAGGGTTCACTGCGCACATTTGATAAAAGTCAAATTCCATATGGGCCTTACGGTTGCAAAGATGGACTTGGATAACTCTCAAGCACATGTGAGTGCACACGCTGTGTAAACGTGATCCCATAAGTCAACCTGGATCTTTAAACAAAGCTTCCGACTGAGCGTACCTCTTAGAGCCCATCTGCTCTTGTTTTTGATAAGGCTGCTTTTTGAGAAAGCGGAGCCATCTTAACGTAACCTCACTGAACCTAAACTCACCTAAACTAAATCCGAATATTGTGCTGACCACCGAGTCGGTATATTTTCTTGACTTTTGCATTAAGATATCATAATGTGAGGTAGCGAGTCTAATGAGTGAATTATAGGAGTAGGCAAATTCTACGAGATACCTGCCCCAAGTTTGTTTGGAAAATCTGTCCGCTTAGCAAGTCAAAGTTTACAACTGTCGTTTACGACCACAAAAAGCCTTTATTTACACCAGCAGCAGTCTCTGATACCTGTAATCTGGAACCGCCACCCTTTACACAAAAACACCAACTTGGTACTAAATCGAGCTCGTTTCTACTTTTTGCTGAACCTGACTTTTGAGTACACGTAAAATTAAAACACCTATCTCACTTTAAGTAAATCTTTTGCTTTGTGTTACTAAAACCAATTGCCGTCCAACCCGACCACAATTTCATCGATTGGCATTGAGCGAATCGGTGCCGCCAGAGGCCCGCAACTTCACAGTCATTACGCACCGATGGGCCAGGACGATGGCTTCAAGATAGTCCAGAGGTTATAATTCCATCTCACTTCTGATGGCTCTGTACAGTGGCTAGGATGTTTCTGACATGCCGCGGTCGCGTCCCCACACATTTGCGTGAGAAGAAAGTAACATATTGTCTACTATATTGTTTGAATGAGTTTTCCTGATTTTAAAGTCTCAGATGCTGGTTGCCACGTCGCGTCCTACCATCTTCACAATAACGAATACGTACACGGTTGTTGTAGTGCATGTAAACGCTCAAAAAGCAAAAGTTCAAAGTATACGAACGGAGATAATAGAGTAATTTTCAAACTGTCCTGTTTGGCTAAAACTCATGGACTAATAGTATACACCAAATGGCCAGATGTCTGCCTTACAGGAGAAGGACATTTAGTCTGTACAGTTTAGTTAATCTCATTGGGATAAAATACGTCACACTCTTTGACAGCACACAACGGGTTTCGCCTTTCTTGGGGTTCATAAACGACGTGAAATACCCGAGTTTCCGTCAACTTCATTTTCTACTTGAACCCAAAAGGCACGAAATTAGCGAAATAACTTAATTTGCATACCAATTTGGTTTTGACGGGAAACTCACCTGGAACCCAGTTGAATCTCCCGATTAAGTTGTTCCTACTCAGCTGTATGGTCTCATAAATATTTCATTAACCTCATGAGTAATGTATTACGTCAATACAATGTATTGCGATATCTCAAATATCGTAGCAACTGAAGCACGGGTCGGCCTTGTGCAGTGTTCTCATTTGAGGAAGAACATCATAAACGAGAGATGCAGCTGGGTTCCAGTTCAGTCTCCTTCAATGCGAAACTGACAATCAGATGGGTGTATAACTCGAAATACTTGAGATCTGTTTTCGACTTCTCCGGATATGTACAATCGAATTTTCACTGCCAATAAAATCCATGCAACCGCACGGAAGATCCTGCTGCGTGCTACACAGTGGATCCTAATTCTGGCTTAGAAATATAGAGAATGAATATTATCTAATTTTGTCTGTGGATAAGGAATTCTTCATCACCACCAACTGACACAGGCTATTGTAAACAGCACGGTAATTTTCTTGTTCTTTATCGTCTTGTGCAGCCATAACCGGCCTATTTGTTATTATTTCTTGTTGTATGAGTATGCCGATGAGAAGAAGCTCACATGGAAACGCAAACAGGATTAAATGAACTTGCTGCGTGATCCTGAGAATGCTGCTTTCAAGATACCCAGTGATGTTTACTTCCTCTCTCCGGATAATCGCGACTTCCATCGTGTGAATAGCTTCCAGTCGTTTACGGATGGTAATAATAATCGTCCAAAACCAACCTATGTGAATTGCCTCCGGGTTAGCTTAGCCAATGTCACCATCGTTCTCCTAATTTTCAAACTGCTTTTACCAGAGTCCGATGACCTTTTTATGTTCCCAAACTGAGGCCGATATGTGTCTCCTTAAATCGTATTCACAAATTATTGAATACGTTCTATCCCACTGGATTTACTGTTCCTGTCATATTACCTGTCATCTTGAAGGATGATTGCTACCTCGCAAATGGGTCACTGTATTACGCATTTAAGCGCAATGGAAGCTCTGAGTGTTGCAGCGAACCTGACAGTAAGTGCTGGAATAACGCCAAAACATGTTGACCGACGGTCAGCACCCAACCTACCTAACTCTTCATGAATGAAAACAAGTCCAGATGTTGTGACCTATTCTGCCCTGTTTCACAGTGACCCATTTTCCCCAGTATACCTGGTGTAAATTGTTACATAACTTGCCTGGCAGCAACAGATAACGCTGTTGACGCCCTGAGGGCGCATGTCCTCTCTGTAAAGCAGCGCAAAGTCAGATAATCGAAACTTTATTTTTCGTCCTGCTAAACTAGGTAAATAGCCACGTTTTGGAGGCTGTTGTTGATGTATTAATGTTTAAATACAGAAGTGTCAGTGGGCTTTTCAGTGTGAAGATCGGTAGGGGAGCTATACAATGAAGGCAAACTTTTGGATCCACAAGCACAATTAAGGGCGCGACTGTGCCATGTCGGACAATATCTCTAACCATTGATGTGTTCAGTCTCGGGGTCCCTATTGAGGGAGACGGCAATGACCAGCACAGCTGAGTTTGATGGCCATGGTTTTCACCCTTCGCTGCCAAGTCATCGTTTGACCTCCCTGGCTCGTTTCCGCCTTTGCGTTGTTGTGCGAAAAGAACCCTTCGAGGAATTCGATCAACTGGCATACGGAGCACGTGACCAAGCCAGCGCAACCTATAGAGTGTAATCGGTTCATATATCGTGGGCGAGTTATTTCTTGCGAAAACTGTTCGGCGTACTTCAGAATCACTTATTCGGTGTTTCCATCAGACTCGAGCAGTGCTTCGAAGACATCGATGGTGCTGCAGAATCTTGTACAGAGTCCACAGATAGATTCTTCACGTTTTTCTCTATTCAGCGTATTAAATTATATTAAAAAATTCACCAACCAATCGTCACATTTTGATTGCTAACTTTGGGTGCTCACTAGTCTCAACCAGAATAGCTAATTAGCAAATGATGTTCGTTTTCTGAGATGTATCTTAAAGTGATATGCATAATGTGGAACTGCTAATCGATGATGTCTAAATCCCGTTACCTGAAAACTGATGTTTTCAAGGAGAACCGTCCTCTCAGGCGACACCGTGGGGAAAGCTGACAGTTCGCTGCCGAGTCCTGGTCGCTCCGACAGCCACCGATATCCATCGATCCCTCGGTTGGGAGCCTACAGCGTTTTCACCCACCACACTTGTCAGTCCGCGCTCACCGCTGAATCGGTGACCCGCTTACGCCATATCAGCTGGCCTGTCCACTCCATACTCTGACTTGATCGGATGCGGATACACAGACGATTGCCTGACTCAGCTGCGACTGTGTGTGGCGTGTGCGATTTGTTGCGTTCGAGGCAGGGTGGGGTTGGGCTGGTGATTTTGACCCACCTGTCTCATAGGCACAGACGCGAGAAGACGTCGACATCTATTACTTGCCTTGCAATGGTCCGTCGTGTGCACACGAGTGTGCATGCTACATGTGTATTGGATGATCGGAAAACTGAGCTACATGCTAGGGTCTGAAGCTGGGTTTGATTCACCCCGGTCTAAACGTGAGCAGCTCTAGAGACACTGCGAGCTGGGAAATTATAGGGTGTTTAGGTTAGTCGCACAGCTTGTCCTGTCTTGTGGGTTGAAAGGTGCTACTTGTAACGGAATAGCTTGCCAGACAACTTACTGGCATCCTTCGGTTGACTAGTCATCAAAACCGTGAACGGTGCAAGCCCTCCATGTGAAGAAGCGATATCTCAAGACGACTGCTCCAAGCCTAACTTAGGCTTGCTGCGTTGGCATTTTTCAGGCGCGTGACACAATGAACTGACCGATTGAATAGATTCGTGTTCGTAGAACTATCCCAATCTTATCTAGTCATCAGAGCTATACTGTCAGGACGTGGATCGCAAGATAGCCGACAAAAAAGCTGTTTCAAAAGACTTATCTAGAAGAAGTACTTCGAAGTTTTCAAAAGAATCAAAATTGTTTTCAGACCGTTTTTCGCCATGATCATTATGGACGAGGTCGCCGTCACCACTGCAAGTGTGACGAAGGGATCCTACAATTCCGAACTGTGATCTCATTATCAGGCACTTTCATGACAAAACACGGAAAAAAGCGAATTGGCTTCTAACAAGAGTGCAGAAGCTGTTCTATTCATGCATTACGAAATCCTAGTTCCATGTCAAGACAGATCCACACATTGTACTATTCTCAAAATGAATTCTCATAGTTGCTTTTTTCAGTATTCAACATTATCTTCAAGTATATGCAGTAATACTATGAATCACTTGGATAACTGAGTTTGTAAATAAGGCCATCGAAGAGTAAAATTAGAAAGTATATCGTTTGGTAACAAAAGTTATCCTACTAGCCAAGATTTGGTACTCCACTGCGCTGAGAAAACCTGTTTTATCAACAGTCTTTGGAATCATACATTCATAATACCGTGTTCTGTTAGCTGTTGCAGACTTCCCCATAATATATATGCGTATAATCCACATTTTGAAACTCCTACTCTGTCCTAGGGCACCAATTCCAGTTAGTCTACATCACCCGTTTAGGCATGATTGATCATGTTAGTGCATTAGTAGCAACAAGCGCACTTCGTACGTTAGATATCCCGGATTCTATTTCCTGCACGGCGAAGGATTTGGGTTTCTGGTGGGTCCTAACTAGGGCGCAGCTGTAGTCCAGGGATTTCTCTCTGTGGGTGACCGCACCCGCTTCTAGGTAATTTTGCTGTTTCCAGGGTACGTGGACAGACAGTCATACATCAGTGAGTGGGTGCGCATATAATTTTAAATATAGCGTTTCATCATCTCTATGGTCTGCATCCACCACATGAGCAACAAGGGTCCTTCAAAATGATCCCTGTCCGTGAACACCAGACAGGTGCTCATGGATAACAATGGTAAATTAATTTTGTCAGACCACACTACACGGTGTCACTGACGCACCTGAAAAATAGACTTTTGTGGTTTTTCTAAATACCGGTAGCGCTTCATTTTTGTTTTGAACACTTTTGATGATTTGTGAATAAGATACTTCGCATGAGCAAGGTATGATCAAGCTTTCGGTGAAAGCCTTTGAAAAACAAAGATTTTTATTCTCTCTGGTTATTCTCAGAGTTCTTAGGTCCTTGTTCAAGGCTTTGCTCGGCACCGATATCAGAGATCCACTCTTCCTTTGGTATGCACTTTGCACTCACAAAGTGTAAGGTCATGCTCGTGGACGTGCAGTCACTGAACACGCCACTTACAATCCAGGGAGAGGTACTGGAAGTTGTGAAGCGTTTTACGTATCTTGGAAGTTGTGTTAGTTCTGAGTGTAGTGTGACAGATGAGGCCAAAGAACGGATCTGCAGAGCGCGGGTCATGTTTGCCAATTTGAGACATCCATGGCGTCAATAGTTCAGCTGTAGCACCCTTTCGGTGCCTAACCGCCCTGTCAATCGTTGTCTCAGAACCATAGCTCGTGTGGGTTGGTGTCAGTGAATCCGTAATGAAGCAGTTAGAAAGCATGTTTTCGGTTGTGTAACGGGTACTTCCATTGAAGAATGTGTCCAGCACCAGAAGCTGCGTTGGTTGGGACATGTGTTGCGTATGCCGAACCATCGTTTGCCGAAGAGTATGCTGTTTTCCATGCCCAACTCAGAGTGGCGTAAACAGAGAGGTGGCCAACCCTTGACTTGGCAGGGGAGTATGAAGGAGATCACGAAACGCTTGGTTGCTGTCGGTGCTACTCACCTTCCAGGATGGAGAAAGCGTGACCCTGACTGTGCTTGGTTGGAGACACTACAAGATATGACTGCCAACCGATGTCAGCGGCGTTCTTGTTGTCAGTTTCTGTCCAGATTGCCTGAGTGAATGCCTGGAGGTGTAGGCACCTAGGAATTACTGCGGTAAGCTAGCACAAAGTTCCTTCTCCGTCCACCTTTATTCTTTTCTTTACACTAAGGCTTTCAAATAAATCATGGTTGTACGGCATTGAAGCAGCGATGTTGAACACTGATGTCATGCTGTCGATGATGATGATGGGTCATTCGAGCACAGCTTCGGTACCCTCTATTTAGTTTTTTTCATCTACTGCCGCAGTTACACTTCCGACATATGAGTCATAGTAATACATCCTGACCATTTTTGATAGATGGAGGCTGAACTGGAGCGCTTCCACAAACAAAATGGCCAGCTAGAACTGAATATTGCCGAACTAAAGCAGCGGCACAAATGTGTGGAGAACGAGTTGGTCCAAGAACGTCAGAACACGAGAGATCAAGAAGCGTTGGTGCGGCGGTTTAAGACTGACCTCTTCAATTGCGTTGGATCGATTCAAGACCCTAAAGTGCTGAAGGCTAGCGTTGTTGCATTGTACAAGAAGCACATTCACGAAGACCTGGTATGTTTCCTGGTTTAAATCACGATTCACTAATGGTGACCCTTGTATTGTTGTGAAACAATGTGGACGACTTTTACAGACATATTAGTCCTAGCACCAAAAAGTCGAATAGCTGACGTAAACTTGGGATGCACCAGTGTAATCAAACGAGAAACACAATTTGTATACTCGCAATAACTAAACTTTACCAACTATCCCGAACCTGTTATCTTCATCTTTCACTTTCACGGGTCTACATAATGTACTCTTGACCTACCTACTGCAAATGAGAGAGTAGGGGCTGATTTCGGTCTTAAGCATACAACCGTTGGCAGACGGTCAAAACATACCGGTCATTGCACACCCATTTGGTAGCGAAGGAAGCCCGGTTTCAAGGATTTCTAGAAAAGCTTGTTTAGTCAAGAATAAGATTTGAAGCAAAGGTGTGAGTACCCACAAGGTTGCTGTAAATTCTTCGATATCTCGGATATCGTACCAACTGAAACATGAGGCGCCCTGTTTGCAGCACATTCATTTGAAGGGCACCATAAATGAGAGGTTCACTTGAGTCCCCCGTGAAAACCAAATTGAGTCGCAAATCAGTGTATTTCTCGAAAACGTGTGAGAGCTTATGTATGGTTATCATGCTTAGCGGACTTTCCACAGAGTCCCGATTTGAACAAGGCATTTGTACAAACATTGTTTTAGCCAACAGTTTAGTGAAAAATTATCCCTTCACTTTATTTCTAAGTGATATTCATCCATTAACATGACGCCCATAAATGAAGGCTGTTAAAATGGTAGCCCAACCATTAGCATTCTTTCACTTTATCCCAATTAGAGCGAGCAGGCTCTACATTGAGGTGCAATGGCACATAGTTCCCATTGAAACTTTCATAGTTTAGATATTAATCTCATCCGAAGGCATGGTTTTGTCATTTGCTAATATCCCGAAAACGAAAGGAAAGTGACAGAGAAAGCTTTCAACATGCCACTATAGACTATTCAGGCGACAGCGTCTTCAAATACAGGATGGTATCACCTTTGTTGATAAGATTCTTCAGAACAAGTTGAGACTTAGTGGTACTTACAGAATGCCAAAGCAGATTTTTCTCAGAATGATCATGTGATACTTACAGGAGTAGGCACTGAACTTGGCTAGAAATGTACATTCTGTGAGTGACACCTGCAATGTAAATCGTCCATAGACTGTCCATAATTCGCCAAACCTGGTAGCACTTCGGCTGATTCCGGTGTCACTACCCGTTAAAGATGTCTGAGCCACAAGACAACCGTATGTAAACACCAGTGCTTGAACAAAGTTCGTCTTCTTCTGAGGAGTTGGACATTATCAGAATCTTTGTGTATCGTTTCACCTTTACCAAGATCTCACGCTTATAGTCAAAATCGGGTTATGACTTTCGGTGTTCCACATAAATTCAGAGTGTCCAGACGGGTAAAGTGAGTCAAAACACGTTCAGTTCTGATCAGTTTCAGCTAACTTTTTAAAACATTTTTTCTTTGTTTAACAGTACGGGATTTTATTTCGGGCCATTTTCTCAAGCTCTGAGACTATCAGCTAACAAAAAACTCTACGATATATGTAGGGATATTCGAAGACACGGATAATGGGATAGTATTCACCTTCTTACCCATGCTCCCGGGCTTGGATTCTGGAAGAGTTGTCTGCAAATTAATGCCAGTGGGTGTTGACCACTCAATTTGGGGGCGGAAAAGCACAATGGAACTGATGATGTTGCAGACTGCCAGTCATTAAGTAACTTAATTTAGTTAGATATTAGATAGAGGGAAGTGTCGCTTTAGAGGATCACGCGATCGTTCTACTCTGGTTACTGATGTCGCTGCTGCTAGTGCTTCTGCTGATGTTGTCGTTGAGGATGATGATCGTGATGGTGATAAAGACGATGGTGATGATGATGATGATGATGATGATGATATGATGATGATGATGTGATGATGATGATGATGATGATGATGATTATGAACGGCCTCACATGCCTTGGTAGCTGCATAGTGCGTAATTTTCGTGTAGTGGATGAAGCCAGAGCGTGGGTAGTCCAAGCGTCGGTAACGTTGGCCAATTCACATGATTTGTGGTATCAGAAGCGAATCTTACCGAACCTACAGTGCAACCGCAAAAGCCGTCTTACTTCTTGGTTGTGAGAACTAGCCACTCAGATCCCGCAGCCTAAGGCTTTTCCCGAATTCGATCACCGAAGTCGCTGTAGCATAGCAAGAGTTGGTTGGTTGCTGCGAACACGCAGGAAGGTGATGCGCAGACGGGGACTTGGCAACAAATCCACATTGTCAGTGCAGTGAATTATATTGATCAGTGCGCACCCAACTGCGCACTGATGATGTCTCCTCGTATGATGACGAAACGTTTGCAAGCCAATTGCCAAGCTCGGCGAACAGATCAACAGCCATCTGATCAACAACCAATAAACTCACCCGAGCTACCAATATTTCACCACATGACGTCGAAATTATACTCTGGCGTTTCGGATGTTAGGGGTCACTTACACAAAGACTTCAGTAAGCTGACCTGTAACTTGTTGGATCAGTCTGTTTCTCGTAGTCGATATCTGTGAACCGAAATTTGTACGCTCATGGGAGTTTACGTGGCCAAACAGCTTTGACTTATGGCTGTAAACAGAACAGGTGGACGAAAATTTACAGATCGATTACTGGCGGCAGTAATCATTTTATTCATATGGGTTGACCGTGGTGCTAAAGAAATTTGGTCACACATCGACGGAACCTCTAACCTGGGATGAGGAATCACTTCGTGATATCCCGATCACCCAATGTTTTGGAGGATATCAATGGCTGAAGTTTGCGCTCTATCTGCGTTCTGTCTCAACTTTTAATCCCACTTCTGTACGCTTTGAAGACGTTGTACAAATGAATTTAGATGAATACAAACAAATTTCGATTCGCCTTCAGTGAGTTACCACGTTTAGCGAATGAGGTACGAAGTGAAGCAATATAGACGGATGTTGAGTGACTTCGCAAGGATGAGGTAATATACTAGGCTCAATGTTAAACCACGCTCAAGTGGCGACCACGAATTTTTTTGTCCTTGCAGTTAGAGAGCAACACCAACGACCAACTGTATTCCTCATCGCACTTAATAATTTTTATAAATGAGTACGCGTGAATGAAATGCTGGAATAAAATTTCGAGCACATGTTTTCGTAGTATTTGTGGGCGCAATCAGCAATATTTAGGGGAGGCATCAGCGAGTTCCTCAAAGATGTGAAGCAAAGTGATGCAAACAACTTGTTCACAGAATGTGTTCCATTGACAATGAAGGCGATAAAAAACGAAGTTTTCGTGGCATTCGGGCTTGCTTTGCTAGTGGGGTTTTTGACACATGGATAGCGGTTATTCCAGAATACACCCTCATTACTGGGAGGCAAGATTTATGTTTTCATAACGTCTTCAAAGTGCAGCAGAACGAATTCGCTTAGTAATTTGGGGAATTTAAAGTAATTATCGGATGAATATAAAGCCACCATAGGTTCGAATTTTATTTTGATGCCACTTTCTGGTTGAACTTGAGCATGTCGGACCATTTTGAACCGGTACTCTTAGGAATTTCCTCCTGAGTCAGAATAAAAGAAATGATCAACAATAAGTTACATTTATATGTGATCCTTGTGCCTGATAGGATAGGTTCTTCTATCGTTCAGTGTTCTCTTGTCAAACTGTGCGTTTTGTTTTGAAAATTTTGGTGTTTCGCTCTTCACACCGTTTTCGGACAGTGCTAACAAGTCCCCCACGATCAGCATTTCCTACCAGAATTACAATGTAGTACAGTTTATTCATGAACATGTTTCATTTCTTTCAGACAGGTGAAGCTACGGTTGATGCAGATATTCAGAAAGAATTTGCTCGGCAAAGGGAACATTTGGAGCGCTCTGTCTCAGGTTTGCGAAGAAAGCTAGCGAGAGACAGTGAAGTTCATCGTGTTGGATACGTGCGCATCATGCAAGTGAGTGAATGCAGTTGGGTAGAGTCTTGAATAATCACTTGGTGTCACCGGCAAACGGCCAGCTACGCGGTATATAACCAGATCGTTTCCCGGACACTCGTTTGCTTCGCTTAAAACTAGGACGATGGGGTCACTCGCACCTACATGATAGATGCCGTTTTTTGTTATCCTTAATAGAACATAATAGCCAGATTAGGTTCGCACCAATGAGGGTCTGCTTATATTTACAGAAGCCTCATCTGTTTGCTAATGCAGTTTGTACACAGCACAGGTTAGTGTGGTGATACTGCCTGGTCGATAGCACTCGACAGCAAACAAGGGAAACATTCCGTCGGTCCTCTGTTTGCCCTTTAGCAGGAGGTTTAGTCTGACTTCAAAAAGCAATCGGTTAATTCTGACCACTTAATTAGAGTTATCTGTTTTGGTGGGAAAATATTGTAGGGAGTGTGGTAATTATGATAGGCTGGAACAGCTGAAATCCACAGGCTTGGTTGAGAACCACTGTGTTGAGGTTCCCAATACGGAAGTTTGAGTCACACGTAGGTTTGACGATCTCGATTATGAAAAGGAAAAATAGGGTTCAAAAGTCTGCGGTACTATTGGCATAGAGGTAAGCAAAGCCATACAACAAGCCTCACTTATTAACGTCCGTGGCATCAACCAGTGCACAAATCTGTCCCGGACAGGAGCAGTGCAGTGTCAAACAAAGTTAAGCGGAATGTTGACTCAGTGTGGGTTGCGGTCGTCTCTCAAAACCGTCTCGTGATTCTGATTAGCGATGCGACCACACGGTACTCATGCGAAAACAAGTCCAGACAGTCTCAGTAAACGGGACACTAACCCGCTTTGATAAGCAGGTCAGATAAGCAAAACAAGCGGAGTTAAAAACTGCGCAGATGCGGCAAGCAAATGAACTGGGGGAATTATCATGAGGTCAAGTTAGATTCATTACACTGATCGAATTCGTATACACCACATACATTATTCTTCCCTTCCAACGCACCTAAAGGTAGAAATTCGACGCGAGGCTCAGCAAACCAGGTCCATTATACTGGGGGAATATCATGAGGTCAAGTTAGATTCATTACACTGATCGAATTCGTATACACCACATACATTATTCTTCCCTTCCAACGCACCTAAAGGTAGAAATTCGACGCGAGGCTCAGCAAACCAGGTCCATTATAAGTGATGTTGAGTTTAGTAGACTTGACAATTAAAGTGGAATACAGACGTTTAGCCGAATATCGGGATGCGGATAGTGAGGCGATCAATAAATGCTAGACAGCCACGTTGAAGAAATTAGTTAGCAGATTTGGGAACAGAAAAGACCGCACAAGGAAGACTATGAGGGCGTAGAACAGTCCAGTCCTCAAATATGTGAACAAACTACTTCACCTCAGGCCCAACACTGTCGGTAATCTACCTTATTATAACCTCGTTCTCCATTTCCCCCCACATTCATTTTTTGCAGAGTAGGTAACTCACCTCAACTTCTAAGTTTCCCTTATTTCAAAACACGGTCGGTTTTCCTATTTAACTTTGCCGTGACCACCAACTAAACTGACCAAATATTCACTGTAACTACAGCATGACTGACTCCCACCCAGTTGTTTGTGATTTGTGCTGCTATTCTGGGATCTTAAGCATCAGTTACTGTCTTGGTTTACTGCACTGCATAAACCCAATGAGATATCTACCGATATCTCAGTGAAGTGTTTAGTCTCATGGTTTGACGTACGGCACACTTAATTCTTTTAATTTCAGACCAGTTAGTTATTTTCTCAAAATGTCGTCGCACAAAACTGACACTACTAGAGGCACGCAAGCATCATTGAAGTTTTGGTTCGTGCGGTCCAAGTATGGAGAGGCTAGCCTCAGTTTACAGTCATGGAGAATGTCGACAAAGTGTGGGGAGGCCATGATGGAATATTGTCTTGAGTAAATTAATTTAATGTACTGTGTTGGCACTATAACCTCAGTGATATGATCCTGTGGGATTTCTCACAACATTATGTTACTATAATGAACTACCTGAGTGTTTACGCTAACCCGAACTCTCGACTCTATTGTTGACGCTTCTAACTCAGTAGAGTTGTATGTTCTTTCTAACATTTTTTAGTTGGAACTTAACAACACGTTGAGTAATCCGCTTTTGATGTTCAAAACTGTTAATCCCTATCCTACGATAGAGGTGGGTCATACAGTAACATCGCATGGAGCACGCCATAGAGTAGTTTCAATTATATCCTTGCTGCAATGAGCTTCCAGTCAAAAAGAGCCGTTTTCTTGTTCCGATGAGGCAGTTGTAACACGGTTTTACTGTACATTGTTATTCCTTTTGGTAGCTGATGACACTGACTACTGCCTTTTGTAGATTTTCTGTTTAAGACCGGATTGATGCAGAGTACTGGGTGCAGACTATTTAGCTAGACAGTTTTATCAAAACTGCAGTTAGTGAGAGTTTGAACTAACCCATATGTGATTTCCGAAATTGTTTTCTTTTCCAAGGAAAACGTTAGCCTAATTGGTGAGATCAACGAACTTCGACGGGAACTCAAACTATGTCGCAACAGAATAACAGAGCTGGAGGCAGCGTTAGGTCTCAACCGGAAGCAAGGTGATGCCGCCAGGCAGCTGCTCTCTCAGGTTGCAAAAAATCGCCCAAATGCTGTGTTGGAAGCGGACTATGAGCAAGCGCAGCGAGCACTTACAATCCAACAAGAACTTATTGTTCAACTACGTCGTAAATTGGAGGCATTGGGACAGAATCCTAACAACGCTGAAGAACTGCTCTCTGAGCTGCAGGACCTCATGAAGGAGCAGTATATGTCGGAGCTTGATTTCATTCCTACTAAGAAGACTCCCCTTCCACCAATAGGAAGAAAAAAGTCGATGGAATAGGATGAGGTGCGTAAATAGGTTCGCTTCTGAATAGGCCCAAATGATATGGGAAAACCATAAGATGGTTCTGTTAAAATAAACCCTTGTGACTTATCTGGCTTGAGGCGTTCCACTTTCTTCCCAATGAATCAACCACAATGAACCAACTAAATCATTTTATTTTCGAGATGCAAACACTGATTTCATTGTCCCAGTATTCAACAACACGCTGAAGCTGTCCCACTGACATGACTTTAAGGCATTCATCGAAAAATGGTGTCTTATAGAAGAGAACCACCGGAAATGGGATGTACCATTACAGGATTCGAGATAATAGCTTACTAAGATAAGAATTAAGATAAGATAAGACGAACCTCCAAGTGGATGTAGGCGCAAGAACCACTCCCACTCTCACTTGAGAAGCGCCTGGTCGAAAATACAGTCTGGTATATTCGTAAGTTGTTTCCTTACGTGTCATCAGTTTAGAAGTTTGTACCTTCCACCCACTATAGATTTCGATCATGATTGTCGATAAATGGCAAGTTCTAAGTATTCGGAAGGTGCAACTTAACACAGGAGGTCCCTTATCCTGTGCTGATGCCTCTTTCGTGCAATCAGTTGTCGTTAGCACGGAACCCGTCCACAGAATAGTTTTTTCTCTCTTCTTTCAAATGCAGCGATCTTTCCTTTTACCTGATTTGTTTACTTTCATACTTTATGAGCTGTAAAACCTAGCTGCTTGGGACAGACTGTCAGGCGGAAAACTCGTCTTTTAGTGGCAGAAGTATATCCCTCACCAGCGCAATCTTGAAGCAAGAATGTCTTGATTCTGCGTTTTTAAAGATGCTATTGTTGCGGGAGTCCAGTAGTTCCAGGACGAGATTACAAGGAAGACAGAATAGAAGGGCGTAATGTATGCTTTAATCGTCTACTGACGGTGATACGTGAGCTGAAAATATAGAGTGAGAATTACGAGTTAGTGGTCTATGCAAAGGTATGGTTTATATAGTCGTAATAGCCATGTAACTTATTTTTTTAATGTTGGTGAATCATTCAAATTTTTTATATTTCTGCTTGCAGCTAATGGACTAAACTACGCTGATTCAACGAAGGAAATGCCAGAAACCGAAAACAATATGTTTGGTGAATATTTTCGAAACCGTCATATTCACTTTCAGCATCCAGTGACATTCTGCCCCAAGATTCACTCCTGACAAATACACTATGACTTTTAACATCTGAAATTGCAGTACTATGATATGATGAAGGTTTCACAGAGTTTCGAGGTAGTCCTAGCTGTGAGCACCATGGACGCCGGTCTTTACTAGATCTTAACTGCACCGGTTTACAGGAAATTTGTTGAAGCAAAAGTAAACCCTTCGAAGTGCGGCGAAACAAACTTCTAGTTCCGTATCACGTTGCATGATAAAAGGTGTAGAAAAACTAGCCTAAATGAGAACCGACCTAGTAGACTAAAACACACTAAATAAGCGAAACCCATATAAGAAAAATATGTAACCAGACAAAATGAACGAAAGAGCTGTCCGTAACTTGCCAAATTTAGGACGTGGTATGGTTTGCGCCTGGATATTTAGGCAACACCTCAACCCAATTCTGAATCAGTCAATGCAGTGAAGTCTACCCGAGATCATATAGCATTTTCCAAACTGCAAGAAGGTGGTTGCAAACATCCCGTAAAGTTTAAACTGCATAGAGTCATAAATCACTTCCACACTTTTCAATAACACACAACTGTTCAGTCAGAGAACGATAAGCAGTGGAAGTTCTGAGCAAAGAAGCAGTATTTCGGGTAATCGTTATATATCTCTAGGAAATGAAACAGGGACCATAAATTCTTGAAGAAACCAGTATAGCAATGGCGATTATATCTTTAGTAAATGCAAAAGGTACCCATCTGCTTTTCCTTTTGATCCTTTCTGTGGTTCTGATTAAAATATAACCCCTAACACGTTGTCTTCTTTCTCATATATGGTCACCTTATAGTTTTGCTAATTTTATTGCCTTTAAAGTGGCAAAGGTCTAACGGTTTATCTTTCGTCTCTCATTTAATAGCAGAAGTAAAACTAGTCAAAGAAGTGAGGTTTATCCAAGAGGGTCAAAATTTGCGTTCTAGCTTTGATACATCACTAAGTGAGGAACGTATCTGCTTCACGATGTTGTTCGTCCCATGTGGTGACAATGTGAAGAAGCGCTCCTCTCCTGCCAAGCTGCTGTCACCGACTTTGTAGGTATTCATTGAATTCCAGAAGTCAGTGAAAATAAGTTTAACATGCAGAGATGGCCAACTCATGTAGTTAGTCATTAGGATATAAAATGGTGGTTAGCTGTGCAGTTGTTCAAATCTGATGAAGAGCAACACAAATAGCCTCATACAGTGTCCCTTACTGGTTGTGATTACCTTTTTATTGGCAAAAGGTGTATCAAATCTTTCAATGCACACTTCACGATCATATAACCCTTAGGTTTGAAAACGCTAACAAATTTTGCGAAATAAACTCATTTGCAAACAAAATTGGTTTTTCGAGAGACTCATCTGAAGCCCAGCTGGATCTGTCGTTTATGATGTTTTTTAGAAACTAAATGTGTTGCATCAGGCCGCCGCCTTTTCCAGTTGGTATTATATTCGAGATATCTCGGTACATGTATGGACGTATTACACTAATCTCAAGGCTACTTGAGAACATCCTAAACGAGAGATTCCGCTGTGTTCCAGGTGAGTATCCCGCAAAACGTATTTGATTTGAAAATGTGTGCATTTCGCTAATTTCGTGCAATTCGGGTTCAAGTAGAACAGGATTGACGAAAACTCTGGGACTGCGCCAACCTGATAAGGCCCAACAAGGGCAAAACCGGTCTTGTGTTGTCAAATAAATTCCAGCAACCTTATTAGTATTGTATTACGTCTTCCGATTAGTCTTTGACAGATTTTCACCGAAATCTATCATGTTCCTGTTTGCTTAGTACACAATTACGGACTGCCATAGAAACATGAAAAAGATTAACTGCTTTCTTTTCTTCGCCGGTGATGGTTCTGAGGCATGCTATGGTTGAAAACATGGGAAGGTCAGTTCGCTATGAAAATTGCTCTACTTAGTGGTTGAGACAGTGATAACGCCTAACGAAACTCACCTTTGAATAAAAGGTTGACATTTGTGATTTTCCGGCCTTTTGACAAAAGTAACCGCTTACCCAGTCTTGCTATTTTTCCAGGGACGGATGAGGAGATAAATCAGCCAACAACTCTGTCTCCTCTAATATCGCATTTTCAAGGAGTGCTGGGCTTTGCGGTCATCAAAGATGCTTCGCGCACCTTGAGGTTGTTTTGGGTCACCAGAGTGCAGATGAACACCGCAAAGAGTGCAAGAATGGCAAGTTTGGTTTTACCTAGAACGGATTAATTCGTATGGGTCACAGTTTGCCGTCGAAAGGTAAATGCCCAAAAGTTTTTCTTCCTCTGATTTTCATAAATATCATGAAAGTCTCTTTTTGCTACATAACATTTGTTTACGGTCGCAGCACAGGTGCATAGGGACAGTCTCCAGAAGATTGGTGACTAATTGTTCGTTCTGTGCCTGAAAAAATACCTTGAGGTGCAAACAGTCACACTGAAATTGAAACCGGTTGACACGTTTTTTGTATTTGATAGTTTTATTAGCAAGCTTCCGGCGGTTATTCAGACTGCAGGTGGTGAGGTTCTGCTCATCCGCAAGACTAGTTCTTTCGGTCAGAGGGTTACATTTACAGGTTCATCTATTGCCAATTTCCACTGTCGAAGAATGCTGCGTTCCAAAACAGAGCTCTGAGCTGTAAATTTCACACAGAGAACGGATCACTTTTGCCGCGGGATTTTACCTTTGTACTTTCAGAACTTTCTGGTGCTTAAGACAGCAATATGATTTTCCTAATACCAGACTTTGTCTCCTACAAGTAAAGCCCATACTTCAACCTTGGCCCAAAAAAGCTGCATTTGTGGACGGTAGAAGTTGAGATTCAAAAATTCCTTTTGCCAAATAAATTTACACGAGCATCAAGAAGTCCGTTTTTCCGATTCTCTTGAAGCCACACTAATACAGAACTAAGTAGACCTGCCCGAAATCTGTGCTTTTGACAACATAAGAGCAGCTCAAAAAGATCTACTTGAACTGATCAGAACGCTTATCCCCGCACTAGGACAATATACTGTTACCAACATGTGATCAGGGAGGTTGCGTCCAATGTCACTCAAAAACCTGGGAAGCAGTTATTCAAACAGATTCATCCAAAAGAACAGATTCGGCACAACCACTAAATTCGGTAATTTTCCTTAGCTGAAACTGAGAAGTCTTAATCGGACATGACACTGCGTGTCCAACTTTTACATAGAAAACCCGAGCAACGTTTCAGAGAGGTTTGGTGATCAATCGGTGGTGGTTGGGCAACGTTGCACTTTTGGCACAAAATCTTTCAATTGATGAAAACCCAGAACAACTTTCAAAATAAAAAACATCCACACGAAAAACCCTGCCTGCACAGATTTGAGACCCTGCAGTTGTTACACTCCACGGCTAAACGTGCCAATCCATCCCAGCAAAAAACGAATTCATTCGTTACCAATTTAGTGAAGCAATGAGGAGACCTATACAGGTAAACGTAGGTTTAAAGGTGATGACTTTCAAAAAAACATCCACACGAAAAACCCTGCCTGCACAGATTTGAGACCCTGCAGTTGTTACACTCCACGGCTAAACGTGCCAATCCATCCCAGCAAAAAACGAATTCATTCGTTACCAATTTAGTGAAGCAATGAGGAGACCTATACAGGTAAACGTAGGTTTAAAGGTGATGCTGCTTTCAGCAAGACATGAATTTAACTTTTAGTTTGGCGGTAAAGCCTGCGGTGTTTTTCCATAATAAAAAACCAACAGGCAGATTTGTCTCCATTTAGAACTGTTCGCATAGTTTACAATATTGCACAAGATACAATGATCACTCAATGCACCAAGCTTTGCCCCAAGAATTCTTGAAAAACATGTCTGCACAAACTGTTTCGGATAAACGTGCATTGATATTAGGTAAGACGTTTGCCATTATGATTTATGCATATTAGATTCTATGGTGGCATGTTCCGACAGTGCTTCATTGCAGACTCGAAAAATATGGTAAAGTACAGCAAATCACATGATATTCATTTCATCGACCCAAGATTTTAACGGATATATCGCAACGTTCTTCAATAATTTCCTTGACCGCGCGGCTTTTCGGTCGAAGCCACTTCACACCCATGAGATAGGCACGTCGTTGAACAAGGGCTCAGCTGGACAAATTTGACTTGTTTGCATTAACTCCGACACGTCACTCGCGCTATCTAGCCTGGAAAAGTACATTTGATGAGCACAGTAAGTGTATACACACTTGAAAATCTGAAGGCCTTTAGAGCCAAATCGGCAGTTAGTATTCCCTGAAATGTGGCTAGACGTTAAAGAAATGTCTGCTTTTCGCTTGTTGAAGTCGTAAGTACAATTAGGGTATACCTTGACGGATCGTAAAACCGGGCTAATGAGGACGGAATCAGTGCTGGAGGTAACTTCCGCACCTAAGATTTTAATGCGGAATCAAAAATATCAAAATTCGCTCCTCTATACTTTGATAAGAATTTGTAGGAGGGCACGATCTACATCTCACCCAAAACAACGTGGCACAAATCGCTCATTTTGAGATCCGATTTCAATGGAGTGTAAGAACTGAGGAAAAATTACTTTGGGATCGCCTTTTAAGGACATTTTGTTTAGTGGAGTGGGACAAGGACGGACAATGTTGTTGCCTTTAGAAGCGACACCGCAAATATGGCAGTGGTAGAGTGGGCTGTACTTTAGAGAGGAAAACCAAGATAAAGAGCTAATTCGGGGAGAACAGGCAACAAAGAACTCCTTTGGCCATGATGGCCCTAAAACTTATATCCTTCAGTCATACTTCATTGTGATTGAGCCAGAAGACACAAACCTATCCAGAGTGTCCAACCAGGCACTGAATAAGTGGGAGTTTAGCACTGGCTATGGGACTCATGGATGGAAAAAGACGGCCAATCAGAAAAACTGTTTCAGAGCCTTCTTGGCGAATCGAAATACACAAAAAGGGCATAGCGTACGGCTTAGGTACAGTCGAGCGTTGAGCGTGTTTTATTCAGAGGAGAAAGTACAACGAGTTACCG